TTGAACCACCAGCCTTCTGGTTAGCAGTCAAGTGCCTTAGGCACTATGTTACCAGAGCTCCTTTGCTGTATAAGACTGTTGCCGTATAAGACTGCACCAAAATTTAACTGTGGCCAAAATGTACAGCTTGGTCTTCTTTACTGACATTAGTTACATAGAGCTTAGTGCTTGCCTGTCCAGTGCCAAAGTAATCAATGAACTCATTATATGTATGTATTATGCAGCTGTGGTGTAGGGAAGGATGCGTGGCGGAAAGCCCAAGATTAATATGATAATTTTTCTATTTTCTAATGTTGATATTTTATTGGAAATATGGCATATTGACCTTAAAACATGAATTAATATCTCCTCACCTGATGGCATGTAATAGGAATTGAGGAAGGTGCCTTATAAGTTTTCCGTAAGTGACAATCTTCTACAGCTCCATGTATGAGGATAACATAGTTGACGCCTTCATCATAAATATCAGTTTTGGTATTCATTGGTATATCTTTTACATAAATGTTACAGAGTTGTAATTGCAACTTGTAGTTCCAATTCTATAGAAACAATACATATTGTCTAAACATTTATTTATATAAATACATATTGGTCTAAATATTTTTGTAAATTTTAGTATAAATTCTTACTAGTTAGTTTCTAATAATATTTTAGTACAATTCCATTCAGAGAGAAGGTGAGATCACATACCCAACTCTTACCTCGTAAGATAAGTTTTCCCTGACTATTTTGGCAGTGATAGAAAGTCCAATTTTTAGCCACATTTTGTATTCTAGGAGAGGACAACAGTGTTCAAAAGCACTGAACAAATGCTTTCTGGAAATAAAGCATGTCTGGAAAAAGGAGGGAATAAGAAAAGTTCAATATTTCATTCTCTGGAAACATATTCCTATGGTTCAAGGAATAAAGTTTTCTCATTTATATAAAGCATTAAAACTAAGAATTTAAATTATGGTAAGATTCATATTTATGGCTTGTAAACATAGCAAAACCTTTATATTAGTAAATTTTTGGGTGATCTTGACATCTATTGAATTTCAAAAGGCCACATGGTCCAATGAGAGTTTCATTTTTATTTATTATAGATTCTGATCAATTAAAAAGGATTACAACAAAACCATGTAACATTTTAAACAAAAAAAACAAAACAAAACAACAAACGAAACTCACTGCCATCGAGTCGATTCTGACTCATAGAGATCCCCTTTGGGTTTCTGAGGAGATAAATCTTTACAGAAGTAGATTGCCCAGTCTGCCTTCTGCAGAGAGGCTGGTGGCTTAGAACTGCCTACCTTCTGGTTAGCAGTCAAATGCCTTAGGCACTATGCCACCAGAACACCTTTTTTTTTTTTTTTTTAATTGTGATTTGGGTGAAAATTTACAGAGTAAATTCACTTTCCATACAGCAGTCCACATACACTTTGTCTCATGACATTGACCACAATTTACCACAATGCAACAGCTCCCCTCCATCTTCCTCCCCATAGTTAACCTCTTCCCAGTGTCCATCCCTCCATGCACTCCTGCCCCCTGAACTATCTCCCTGTGCATACACAGCCCTTTTATTCTCCCATGATTGTTCTCTCCAGAACTCCTTTTTCAAACTAAAGATGCAAATATTTCCAAAAATACATTACTTGAGAGGAGCAAACAGTCTACTCATTCTAAACTCATGCTTAGAATGAATAGATTAGGCTATTAAATATCTTGGATCATATGGTAAGTGTATATGTAACTTTATAAGAAATTGTCAAACTGATTTCAGAAGTGGTTGTAACATTTTGCACTTCCACTAGCTATACATGAGAATTTCAGTTGCTTTATATCCTTATTAACTTTCAGTATGTCAGTTGTTTTAATTTTAGCCAATGCATTAGGTATGGGCTGATATCAGGATGTGGTGTAATTTTTACTTCTCTGAAAGCTAATGAAGTTGTGCATCTTCTTCACATGATCATTAGTCACTTAAATATTCTTTTGTAAGTGCCTGTTCAAATCCTTTGCTGAACTTTTATTTGAGTAGTTTGTCTTATTTTGAATTGTATGAGTTCTTTATATATTACTTTGTCAAGTCATTTGTCAGATTAAGGTATTGCAAGACATTTTTCCCAATTCACGGCTTGCTTTTTAAATAAACCTTATGATGTTGTTGCTGTTGTTGTTAGGTGCCATCGAACTATCTATTACTCATAGCTACCTTATGTACAACAGAATGAAACATGCCCGATCCTGTGCCAGCCTTACAATCAGTGCTATATCTGAGTCCATCGCTTCAGTCACTGTGTCAATCCATCTTGTTGAGGGCCTTCTCCTCTTTTGTTGGCCCTCCATTTTACAAAGCATGATATCCTTCTCCAGAGAATGTTCTCTTCTGACAACACGACCAAAGTAGGTCAGACAAAGTCTGGCCATTCTCGCATCCAAGGAGCATTCCAGCTGCAATTCTTCCAGGACAGATTTGTTAGTTCTTTTAGCTGTCCATACTACTCTCAGTATTGTTCGCCAGCACCACAACTCAATAGCATCAACCCTTCTTCGGTCTTCCTTATTCATTGTCAAGCTCTCACATGCATATAAGGTGATTGAAAATATCATGGCTGAGTTAGACTCACCTTAGTCTTCAAGGAGACATCTTTGCATTTCAGCAATTGAAAGAAGTCTTTTGCAGCAGATTTACCCAATGCACTATTTCTTCTGATGTCTTGACTGCTGCTTTCATTGGTGTTGATTGTGGAACCAAGTAACATGAGTCTTTGACAACTTTAATCTTTTCTCCATTTATGATTTTTCTCCATCATGATGTTGCTTATTGGTCCAGTTATGAGGATTTTTGTTTTCTTTATATTGAGGTGTAATCCATATTGCAGACTATAATCTTTAATCTTCATCAGTAAGTGCTTTAAGTCATCCTCACTTTCAGCAAGGAAAGTTGTGTCATCTGTGTATCTCAGGTTTTTAATGAGTCTTCCTCCAATCCTCATGCTACATTCTTCTTCCTATAGTCCAGCTTCTCTGATTATTTGCTCAGCATACAGATTGAATACATTTGGTGAAAGAATATAACTCTGACTCACTCCCTTCCTGATTTTAAACTGTGCAGTATCTCCATGTTCTGTTCAAATGACAGCCCCCTGGCCTATGTACAGGTTCCTTATGAGTACAATTAAGTGTTCTGGAATTCCCATTCTTCTCAATGTTATCTATATTTGTTAGGATCCACGCAATTGAACTCTTTTGCATAGTCAGTATACCACCATTAAACAATTTCCTGGTATTCTTTTCTTTCAGCCAAGATCCATCTGACATCAGCTATGATATTCCTTGTTCCATGTCTTCTTCTGAATCCAGTTTGCATTTCTGGAAGTCTCCTGTCAATATACTGCTGTAACTGTTTTTGAATTATCTTCAGTAAGATTTTACTTGCATGTGATATTAATGACGACATTGATAATTTTCACGTTCTTTTGGATCACCTTTCTTTAGAATGGGTACAGATATGGATCTCTTCCAGTCAATTGGCCAGAAAGCTGTCTTCCAAATCTCTTGGCATAACCAAGTGAGTGCTTCCAGCACAGCATCCATTTGTTGAAGTATCTCAATGGGTATTCCATCAATTGCTGGAGCCTTGTTTTTCACATTTCTTCAGTGCAGCTTTGACTTCTTCCTTCTACACCACTGGTTCTTGATCATATGCCACTTCCTGAAATAGATGAAAATGGACCATTTCTTTTTGGTTCAGTGGTTGTATATTCCTTCCATCTTTTATATATATATATATATATATATATTTCCTGCATCACTCAGTATTTTCCCCATAGACTCTTTCAATATTGCAACTCAAGGCTTACATTTTTTCCTCAGTTCTTTCAGCTTGAGAAATGCTGAGTGTGTTCTTTCCTTTTGGTTTCCCAACTCCAAGTATTTGCACATGTCATTATAATAATTGGCTTTGTCCACTCAAGTTGCTCTTTGAAATCTTCTGTTCAGCTCCTTTATCTTGTCATTTCTGCCATTTGCTTTAGCTACTCTCCACTCAAGGGCAAGTTTTAGAGTCTCTTCTGACATCCATTTTGGTCTTTTCTTCCTTTCTTGTCTTTTTAACAACCTTTTGCTTCCTTTGTGGATGATGTTCTTGATGTCATCCCATAATTCCTCTGGTTTTCAGTCATTGGTGCTCAATCCATCAAATCTATTTTTCAGATGGTCTCTAAATCCAGGAGGGATAGAACCAAGGTCATATTTTGGCTTTTGTAGACTTGTTTTAATTGTCTTCAGCTTCAACTTGAACTTGCATATGAGCAGTTGATGGTCTGTTTCACAATCAGCTCCTGGCCTTGTTTTGGCTGAAGATATTGACCTTCTCCATCACCTCTTGCCACAGATATAGTTGATCTGATTCCTGTGTACTTCATCTGGTGAAGTCCACGTGTATAGCCACATTTTGTGTTGTTGAGAAAGGTATTTGCAATGAATAAGTCATTGGTCTTGCAAAATTCTATCATGAGATCTCCAGAATTATTTCTATCACCAAGGCCATATTTTCCAAGTATCAGTGATTCTTCTTTGCTTCCAATGTTTTCATTCCAATCACTAGTGATAATCAACACATCTTGATTGCACATTTAGTCAATTTCAGACTGCAGAAGTTGGTAAAAATTTTCAATTTCCTCATCTTTGACTTTGCTGGTTGGTGCGTAAATGTGAATAATAGTAGTATTAACTGGTATACCATGTAGGCATATAGGTATTATTCTATTACTGACAATATTGTACTTCAGAGTAGATCTTGAAACATTCTTTGTGATGATGAATGCCATGTCATTCCTCTTTAATTTGTCATTCCCAGGATAGTAGATCATGATTATCTGATTCAAAATGACCAAAACCAGTCCATTTCAGCTCACTAAAAAACAAACAAACAAACAGAAAAACAGTGACTACTATTAACTCGATCCCAACACATAGTGATGCTTAGGATAATGATCTTCATGTGTTCCATTTCATTTTTGACAACTTCCAATATTCCTAGATTAATACTTGATACATCCCATGTTCCAGCTCCCTTGTTTCTACCATTTTATCCTGCTTCTTTGTGTGGACTATGATGGTCTGTTGTTTCCGAGGCATCGTGACGTCATTGTATTTAGATCTCTGTTAACTGCTTGTGAAGAGCAGCCAAGGGTGGTCCAGGCTCTTCTTGGTGGTTTTTTATCATTGGTCTGTTGGTGGAGAAGGAGGAAGTGGCTCTCGCTCAGTAAGTGAAGTTGCAGGAGGTGTGGGTGTAGTTGTGTCTTATGAGGACTGTTGTTGTCTCCCACTCAGTTAGACACAAATTACAATTGAATAACC